TTGTAAGCATTTTAATTAGTATTATATTTTTAGTAAATCAAAACCTTGTCAAATTTGTAATTAATAGCTAAAATCAAACATAAATGAGAAACCTGGAGTGGAAAATAGAAATTCATTAATGCATTTAATGAATACATTCAAACTGTATCAACTAGATAGTAATCTATACTGTTAGCATTGAACAGATTAAAAATTGTCCAAGTTACATTCTCGTCATCTTGTGCAATAACTCATTTTTCAGTATAAACTCCTCTGGTGAATTGCGTTCACAGAATTTTTACGTTACAACTAATTACCATGGATTATTGTCTTATTGATCATTTGAGTAAGCTTGTAATTTTACTTCGGTCAATTTTTGTCATTGCTTGTAATTTGGAGTTGAAACTGGTATTGAAAGATTGAAAGCCTCCACCTTATTTTATATCGATATCATAATGTTAACAAACGACATTAAAAACTATAGCGTAAGAAGTGTTACACAGTGGGAAAAAGAAATTGCTGTCTACATGAACATATGCATGTTCGGTCAGCCTAAGGAAGTAATTGAGTTAAAAGAAAGATGGAAAAAAGAATACTTGAATCAGTGGTGATTGAAATTACGATTCATTAGTTGCACAATAATACAATCTTTTAACACTTAAGTCTTGTAACACTTAAAAAGCACAATAACACGTTCAATGTATCTTTAAACTTTAAATGAATATTACCATATTGGTTTCGTGCTATGTACAAATATAATAGCATGCTGGGGCCACAGGTGATATCACACGTGAATATATATCAAACCGAATAAGTATGTTCGCCGTCATCGATTCACAATCTGGTACAGAATGCCATTAAGTGTTCATAGCATTCGATACACAAAATATACAAACGTGAAACTTAATTCGTAACAAAATATTTGGTGGGCAAGGCCTACTATTTTTGTCCAATTTTATATTTCATAAAGGATGAATTTATACATTTTTGTTAAGACCTATTGTTTTATAATAAGTAATGTCTATTACGGCGGATACGTTGCAAAGTTTAATAATACTGAATAAAATGAATGTTAATCATTGCAACTTGATTTTTGTGTTAATCATATTGTAGCTTGACGAATCATTTGTATCAAATAATGACGTTGGAAGATCTTTTGGTGCTATCGCTTACCACACATTACACAACCAGACATGTATGCGAAAACGGAAAAACTAACAAAGTACATAAATGCATTGTACATTGTAGAATGTAGCCTATAGCCTGCTGGAGCCTTAATCTGTTCACTTTATGTTGAGGAGGTATTATGTACATATGTTATTTGAATGAATGAATGCGACGAAGCACACTACCATTTGACTTTTTCAGACTTTAGGATTCGAAACGTTTGTAATATTATTCGTGTTTTGTAAGTTACATCGTAATTCAAAGTATTTTACTTTAATCGTGCTATCTATTTGATAACGTTTAAAAAGGAACAACTTTCGATGGATACATATATATAACATTCTAAATGTAAGATCACGAATTCATTCTATATCAGTTACAATGGAAAAGTAATGTACAAGGATATAATACAAGAAAAAGTTAGTATACTAAATATTGCAATAATAAAATTTTATATGTAAATATAATGGTACGCATTATTTGAACGATGTAATTTGTGTTACGTATGTAAATTACAAATGAAGTGTTGAAGTTTCGAATCTTGTCAAACTTTACAGAAAGATAGTTGCCTATGATACTAAAATTAGGTAATACCTACAATCGAATGTACCGTAAAATAAGAAACGCATGTCCTCATGTAAAAACTTAAACACAGAATACATTTATCGGTTAAATTATGTATTATTAAATGTTATGATTGATTAAATAAAGTGACATGACACTTTATACATTTATTTTACTCTAATCCTCGTATATGGGAAGTATCCTCGTACTGGGAAGTGAAAGTGTGGAACGAAGGTGGAAAAAGAAACACATAAAAAATGTACGGTACAAACTTTATTTTTATAAACGTCGATAGTTCCGATAAATGCGTGCAGATAAAAATTTGACATAAGAGATTTAACCTTACGATTTGTTTACCATTAAAATGATGAAAGAGGAAAGATAAAAAATATGTAGTAAGAACGTTATGTTCGACATGATCACTTTCTTGGAATTTCTTTACAGTTTTTAGTCAAGAAGGCTAAGAAATTCTCTACTATTGTGCAGTATGTAAACAATCGTGATGCACATGTGCTGCTGTGTATTGTTTTGAAATAAGCACTCACGTTGTATCAACTGTAAGAGTGGAATATCTGATGTGCTTACCTTGATTTCACGTGTAACAATGTTTCAAGACACTATCACGAACATTTCAAAATGATCACCTGCTCGCATAATTAATAGATGCTATAAAAAATTATTTCACGAATTTTGACATTCACAGCCATATTTGTTTATATCACGTTCGTTGCTAACGCGCTAAACGATCATTGGTCGTCGGGATAGTCACGTGATTATATTGAATCAATTGCACTATTGCAATAGAACAGAACTATAGTACAGTATTGTGCTATACGCAAAGTGGCCAAGTGCAGTTAAGTGTTTTGGCAGTGTTTCGGCTAGTAGATAGAATTTTTCCGATATTTCAATAGTTAATTTGCATTCGTGATTGAAATTATGAACGCTATTTCTTCAACAATGGCCCTAATGCCGAGAGAATCCGCGAAGTTCATAGCGCATCGCGCTAAGAACGTTTTCATTGAGGAAGGAGGCGTAAAGAACTTAGCCTACACGGTAAATAACTTTTTAGTTTGGTTTTTATTCAGTTCGATTATGTTTGTATTGATTTGTTATAATGTTTATTTCGTAAATTATACAACGAATTTCGAATACATTAAGTTGCAAAAATATCGTTTTTAAATAGCCAATCTTCATTCTCTCTGTACAGGTTTTAGAAGGCCTTAAAAGCCGTAAAGTAAGTGTGAACAATTTTTCTCAAATCGAAGTCCATCCATCTCCTGAAGATCCAAAAGCAGTCGATTGGATATTTGTGTTGGACACGTTGAATTATTCCTTCTGGAGTGAAACAGATGCGCCAAAGTGGACAGTTAATGGTCAGACCGGTTACTTTGCACTGTGTGCTGCTATTAAAAGGGCGATAGAGGTAAGTGGAGACTACAAGTATAACTCGAGGATATCGATCTGTTTCTATTAAACGATTTCTTTCTGCATGTCTCTAATTATTTGACATCTGCATGCATCTTTTATTGTGGGAATTTCTGATTCTTCTGAATCCTCTGTTTTCGACGAGTGTACAGACTCTGGTATTGCTTCTGATTCAGATTTTACTAGCGACAACGATTTTTCTTTCTCCTTCTTTGTCTTTCTCTTTCGTCTTCTCTTCTTACTAACTTTTACTTTGCTTTCTTCTTCAGGTTTTCTCAACTTGCCTTTCCTCCTTCGTTTTCTTAATTCCTGCTTATCTTTTCCTTTGCTTAATCTCTTTTCAAAGGTTCTTCTCCTTTGCATATCACTTAGTCTCTTCATCTGAAATTTAACTATATGTTGTACCAGACAAACTTGTTATCAAGATTGTTTGATTACACAGCGCGTGATTTCGATAAAAGATGCCAATAATTCTTATTTACCTTCTTATCTTTCTTCCCGTTTTTCTTTATCATGGATCTACGACGCTTACCACCTTTTGCATCATGCAAACTTCCATCCTGAAATAAATAGTCAATGTTTCTCCTTGAGATTTTTCCGTAAATTTTGATAAAATACCTCCGACTCGTCGTCGTAATATTTTCTACAACATATCCGTTCTCTACTCCCTGGCCCTCGTCTAGCCAAATAGCAGCTTATGTACATTTTCATGTCCTCGAAAAGCCCTACGAATCAGGACGTTAAACTTCATGAAAGGACGTGCGAATATTTTTGCAAATTTAGTCACACATACTTTTCATTCTCTCCGTCTCTTTGTTCACTTTCTCATTGTATCCTTCTATGAACGCTTTCCGATGGCCTTCTATGCATTTTAGCAAGAACTGTTCTTTCTCAATTTGCTTCTTTTGGAACTCCAGTCTCTCTGCCCACCTACGGTAACCAGAATGATATGAATTAAGATCGCCTTATTATTACATTCCGATGTACCAACAACGAACTCGCTATTGTTTAATTTTATGTTCATGCGGTGACGTTAAGCGAAGTAGTAAGTAAGTGTAGATAAATCTTTATTAGTAAAACAGAGAAAAAAACGTGAAAAAAATTACCTATTGAAGTTAGAAAAGTCACGTGGCTACCTTAACTTAGCACATACTTTTGTTCCACTGTTTGCCGTTTTTCCTCCTGTTCGCGAGTCAATCGTATTTCCATCTGTTGCTTCCGTATACGTTCCTTCTGCCTCCACTCTAACAAGCTTTGAAGTATCTTTTCCCGCTGTTGTTCCGCCGCAGCTTTCTGTTTCTGCCGGATCATTTCAGCTCGCGCTTGGCTCTGGATGTGCTGCAATTCTTGGGCTTCCTTCTTCTTCTCCATCAACTCCTTCAACCTCTGCTCAATTCTCCGTTGCTTCTCCTTCTGCCGTTTTCGCCTCAATTTGTCGGCCAGTTCACGTTCCCTCATAACAGATTTTCGCATTTCCATCAATCTCTCTCTCTCCTTCAACCTGAACAAATCGTGTAATCCCCGTTTATAAATACAAACAATAATTATCGTCAAGATCGCGTCTCTCGTTTTCAATTTTACTTTCTGACTTCTTTCTTCGCCTGCTCTTCCGCGTACTGTATCGCCCTCTCTTCGATCGACTGCCTCGTCTTTCTGTTCAATTCCGTCTTTATACTGTCGCCGTGCAATTTCCTTAAATACCTTCTGTACATATTATAGTCGCGTAGCGAGCACTTCGCGTCCAGATTCTTTGTAATGAAGCCGGACTTAATCAGATGCTGAAGATTGTTCGGCCTCGAGAAGTACGGGAGCAAATGCTTGTCGTGCAAAGAATCGTAAGTCCATCTAATCTCGTAACCGTACGGGTCGCTCAGGTTGAATTCGGCGTTCGGCGCGGAGATCCATAATTCTTTACCGATTTTTCGACGAGTGAAATTGTATGCCCCTGCCGGCCCGGGGACCATCGGGATTTTCGACTCTAACGGCATTACTTTCCATTTTGGCAGACCGAAATTTGGCACCGCGCCTTTTGGTTTAGGGATCGCTTCCGCGAATTTGTCCAAAGCTCTGGTTTCGTGAGAAAACGTACGTTTCGAGTATTTGTCATGAAAAGCTGGTTACGTGTCACGTGCACTCACGTGGGTCTTTTCAGGCTGATTATGTCAGTCGTGTACTCGTCGCACTGTTTATTCATCTTATTCGGTTGGGGAGCAACGTTTCTGGGTAAACGTATCTCGAAAAATTTAATTGTCATATAACATTTTCGTGTTACATGCGAATTTCATGAAATGTACATGTAAAACGTCATTTTTCGTATCCCATGTGTCTACTCTTTCTTTTGTTCGCGAACCGTTTTGTCTCAGTCGTTTCAAAGATATCTGAACAACCACGATTGTCGTGTCATTCTTTGTCTTTTTTTTTCTATGATTTATTTCGAACAGGAGGGAAAACCCATAGTCGATCCCAAGTATTATTCCCAAATAACGAGATCTGAGGCTGAACGTATTTTTCGGGGCGATAGCGAGGCTAGTATCCCTCTGTTAGACGAAAGAGTTAAATCTTTGCGCGAGACCGGCAGGATTTTGTTAGAAAAGTATCAAGGTACATACTGTAATTGCGTTCCTTCAGTTTCACGTTAACTTCCTGGGAATCTGGTGCAGAACTTTACCAATCTTGCACATCGACTCCTCATATTCACGTAATTCTAACTCGCACGAGAGTTCGTCAGATATTAATGTGCCTCAATCTTTTCAATACTCAATTAAGGATGTATTGGCTATACAGTCAATCCCAAAAGTTTATGTACCTTAGAAAAACACATTTCCTATAATTAAAAAT